TTTTAAATTTGTATTTTATTTCTATCATCAATAAAAACAATTATTATTTGCCACACTTATTTTCCTTTAATATAATTAATCAATATAGGATTAAGGGTCAATACCTTAAATATAAGACTTATTGAAAGGGAATTGAATGAGGAGACATATTATAGTTCAAATTACATTTTATGCCCTCATAATTAGAGAGGAACAATATTCATAAATATGGGTGTTATAATCAAAATTGGATCCAATGAATGTTAAGAGTTAATACATTAAGGCCCTATTTGCTTTTCGGTAAGTTACTCATGTTCATTTATTTTCTAGGTAAATAAGACAATAACTGTTTTACCCATAAAAATCCATTATTAGAAGGGGCATTTTTGTCTCATCCAAGTGTTGGCAACTTTCCCCTAGGTGAAAAAGTTATTTACCCACTTGGGAGATGGGTATCACTTACCCAACCTAGAAAATAAAATTTCCCTGGGCCCCACATAAAATTGAAAAAAGAACATGGGTTTCTTCGTCAATGGGAACCAAAATACCATTGACCAACTTTACCCTCTCTCAAAATCTAAAAAACAAACGCCCCCTAAATATAATACATAATGAAAGGGATTTGAATGAGGAGAAAAGTGATTGTTCAAATTACATTTTTGTCCTTATAACTAGAAAAGGACCAATTTCAAAAATTGGGATATTTTAGTCAAACAAAAGTTCCAACTCTCATTCACACTTTTAATAGTGGTATAGGTTATTAAAAATATAATGTCATAATTAAAAAGCTTCTTTTATTTTCTCTAATAAAATCTATCATTATCCTCTTTGATAAGATCATTCTTCCCTCTTTCTCTAATAGTTAATATTTGTAACATGTCCCCCTTCCACTAATTAAACCCCTTCTTTCCTCTTAACTCTCTCTTGACACTTTTTGGTTTTCTTAATAAAGTAGGGGTATAATTATCTGGGTTGGGTTGGGTTAAGGGCCAACCTAAGGCTAACCTTAGAGATGGACCCTAACCTGAATCCAAACCGATGTCAAAATCAAAACATGCCAATCTTTTGTTTTGGTAGAAAACATTTTTCAGTCCTAACCTAATCAAAGCATTGTATGGGTTTACTACTTTACTTGCTACTTAAAACGAAGAAAACACTAAAAAAAAAACCAAGGTGAACAATGAGTCCCACATCACATGTGAGTCGAGTCATCCATTAAAGTTTGAATATTTGTAATTTTTTTGACACCACAATATTTAACATGTTACAACTTTAGACAACCACATAATTTATGCTACCAAAAAGGTACAATAATTTAATGAAAAATCTAACGAGTTCAAGTTTGGGAGATGTTCCCAATGCACGGATGGATCTTGCTGTGGAGCATACTATATGGGAAGCCCATCCACTCTCAAGTCTAACCTCCACTAAGGTTTCTTATAAATGCTAAGGCATCACCTTAGGCTCAATTTGGAAAGAGTACAAATGCAAAAATGTACAACGTAAATACATACAAAATATAAGGTTTTGCACTCTACATATTTGCATTTGTACTCCTTCCAAACTCAGTCCTAGGAAAAACTTTGGGTGCTTGTAAAAAACAGCCTGGGCTGTTTTGGGAGACTGTTGTGAATGACATCTCATAATGAATGTGGGCAAAAAGGTATTTACACAATATTATTTTAGTTGAAAAGACAAATGAGGACCTGAATTAATTAAAATTTCAATGTGCAGAGGCTCCCAAAACAGGCCAAGCTGTTTTTTCAAAACAGCCAAAGTGAACTCTCACCTTACCTTTCTAAAAAGGATACTATCTTCCCTTGTTGATTGACATGGCAAGACAAAATTAAAACAACACTTCACTTCACCATTAATTGCTCTTAGCATATGACTAGTAAAATTCTACTAAAATCCTTATAGTACCCCTATTTAATTTGACTTTAAATCAAATGGACCAAAATGCCCATTGTGGCTTACTTTTAATTTATAATACATGCTCACTAAAAATTCTATCTTCTCAAGAGTGTCTTACACATGTATGTCGCTTATGTTTTTGTAGCTTAGATGATCAATCACCAAATATCCCTCCATAAAGTAATCATGTTAGCTATATATCAACCAATAATTATTTGACCACTGAATTTTTTTAAAAGTAGACATCAAACTTTAGATTGTGGCAACATGTGACTAGGCCTAAATTTTGCAGGTCAGAGGAGGAGTTTTAATATGGATAGCTTTGACTTCATAAAGCCATTGATTTGGCCATGTCAAAATTCAGATAACTTTACATTATTTATGGAAGTAGATTCAAACATCCAAAACCTTGTAAGGGCATCTTTGATATTTCTCCCTTTTTGTTAAAGAAGAATCATTTAATATTTGGAGCCTTACATGTTAGACCCACCTACTGATAGTTCATTTGGTAATCGCTTTCTTGGTAGCTAAGGACCTACTCAAAATGATGCAATATTCCAAATAAGTGGTGTATAGTATGACTTGTGTAAAGAATTAGGGCTGCAAACAGATTGAATCAAATCTAAGTAGATCCAAGTTTGACTCATTTATATTTGGATTCAAATTAGATCTTATCCATTGAATTTCTACTAGATTTGAATTGAATTTTATTGCAATAGGACATTGAAAATTATAAATAAATTAAACTAAAAAGATTAAAAAATATAAATCATTAATAAAATGAACTAAAAATGACTTTGATATATATTATATTTCATGAACAAGATGAATTGGCAATTACATTGTGAACCGAGGTAGGGATGGATTCATATTTGATCCAATTATAAACAAATGGAATTTTGATCACCCTAATGACATTGAATTTAAATTAGAACAATTAGATACCATTTGCCAGCTTAAACAAATTTGTGTGTCCTTAGCATTTTCTTTTTTTTTTTCTGTTTTTTTTTTTTTTTNGGAAGGGGGAGGGGATGGTTCTACTACTATATTAGAAAGTTCTTGAGATGGGATAACCTCAACTTCTCATTTCATGGGAGTTGAGGAGAGTAATTAGTGTTTAACATTGCTATATACAAGTTTGTATAAAAAATTGCTATGTACAAGTTCATCCTTGCCAATACAAGGTTGGAGACCAAAGTAGATCCCTACCCTTCTAGTGGATGAAAATGTGACAACCCAACCTTTCCATCAGTACTAAGTTTAGTAATGGCGACGGGTTTAGGGTGGGTCACCCACTCATCATCGGGGGATAGGGAAACCCAAAATTTTCTCGCTCCAAGGCAACCACCTAAAAATAATTAATTTGAGGATATTTTAGAAATATGATTATAAGAATTTAGGGGTATTTTAGGAATTGGGTTATGATTATTTGGGGGTAATTTAAAAATGGAATTATGAGTCCTAGGATTTTAAGAATTTTAGAAAAAATTATATTAAACCTAGGGATATTGTACTAATTTACCATCAGGTTTGAGAAAATTATATACAAATCCCATCCCTAGTTTGGGGCAAAAATATTTTTTTGTCCTCACCCCAACCCCGAAAACCCACCCCATTTGGGGGGGGCCCTGGTTTTATGAGGAACATTGCCATCCCTAACTTTGCTCTATCCAATTAGGACAACATGATAATTTTTTTGGTAAATTGCTGAAATCTCCCTTGAAGTTTGGTAATTGCTATTACCTCCACTGAACTTTATGATACAGTTGCAAGTAGACCCCCTTTGTTAGAATCCTCTAAAAAGATTTACCTTTGAGTGATTGATATGAAGGGAAAATTTGAAAAATGAATCAACTTAAAAAAAGAGGGGTTTGGGGCAATAATTCATATGTAGAGAAAACTTGGAAAATTAACATTTTGGTCAAAGTAACTATATGGTTATTTTGGGCATTTAATCCCCTTTTTAGAGGATTCTAATAGAAGGGGTCTACTTGCAAATATGACATAAAGTTCAAGGATGTGATTGCAATTACCAAACTTAAGGGGAAGTTTCAGCAACAACCAGAAACTTTAGAAAAGGTTTTAGCCATTTACCCTTTTTTTATAAGTTTTTTGGTATTTGGTGACAGGCACAACACTAATACCCACCCCCAAAAATTGGTGGTTGTGGGAATCCAATCTGCATCTTTACTTAATCGAACCAACTAACATAAGCCACCCCTCAATTGGTTTGAGAATTGGGATTTCATTTTTCTTTTTTCTTTTGTTTTTTTGGAAATATGAGGAGCTACACAAGGAAGGAGGGGGAGGGGGGTAGCTCTTCCCCATGAATCACACTTACAAATAAATAAAAGATCACTAGGAAGAGCAGAAAGGTCAAGAGGAGAGAGAGAGAGAGGGGAAAAGAGAAAGCTTGATTCACCATCCAGTCAGTAGCTTGGTTTGCTTCCCTGGAAGAATGAATGTAGGAGACACCACACTCTAACAAATCAGCTAGCTTCGAAGAAACGATGGTCTTCAGCTTCCAAGGAGTTTGGGTCTTCTTTTTGAGGCCACAGATAATGAGCAATGAATCACCTTCAATGCAAACTGTGAAGATTCTAAAATTGAGAACAAAATTATGAACTTCCCATGCGACCCAAAGCTTCAGCAACATTAATTAGAAAAGAGGAGAATTCGTATTTCATCCTCACAAAATCTTGTTTATATACCTTACGACCCTTACATGCATGCGAGCATTGAAAATATCTTTGAATAAAAAATGCAGGTAGGGAGATGTTCCGAATGTAGGGTTGGAAGGGGTGTGAGGACCGTGCGAGGATAGACGAAATCCAAATTCCGGATCTGGTGCTGATTCTGGCGCAAGAGCTAAGCAACCAATCACGACTGAACACGGTAATATTCCGTACTACTTACACATGATCAGTTATTAAGGTCACTTCGCAGCAGATCCCTGTTCAATTAGGATACCAACTCCTCTATCTCCTGACGTATCAAAAACGTCCTCTATCTTACTGATTTCCCGGTTTTTATTTTGGAAAACCAGGATGTCCGTTATATATAATATATTTACCTTTCAAAAGGATTACATTGAATTATCTCGCAATTTATTTCTTCAAAAAATCACTCAATCGTTACCTAAGAAAAGTAAATTCTAGCAGGCTCCAGCCACTCACACTTCCTCTCCATATCTCTACTCTCTAGTCTCTACTCTAGGGCATACAAGTTATATGCGGTTGCAAAAAGCAAAATAGCAAATACTTGTTTTCTTCTTCTCTCTTTCACCAATCGCCATGGCGACACCGGAAATAGAACTCGCAACGACGAGGAAGAAAACGGAGATTGAGGAGGAGATAGATGAAGAGGAACTTTCTCCGATTGAAGAAGTGCGACTGACGGTAGCGAACACCGACGATCCATCGCTGCCCGTATGGACTTTCCGAATGTGGTTTATGGGATTGCTATCATGTGGACTGCTGTCGTTCCTCAACCAGTTTTTCGCCTACCGGACGGAGCCCATCATCATAACCCAGATCACAGTTCAGATCGCTACGCTCCCCATCGGCCGCTTCATGGCCTCCGTTCTCCCACGGACGAAGTTCCGTCTGCCGGGTTTTGGGTCCAGGGAATTCTCCTTGAATCCTGGACCTTTTAACATGAAGGAGCACGTACTCATCTCTATATTTGCCAATGCCGGCAGCGCTTTCGGTGGCGGATCGGCATACGCGGTAGGCATTGTCAACATCATTAAGGCCTTTTATCGCCGGAATATCTCCTTCTTTGCTGGTTGGATACTTGTCATCACTACCCAGGTTCCCTCTCTCTCTCTTTCTCTCTCTCTCTCTCTCTCTCTGTATATGTGACGCTGAGGCAATAAACTAGGTCCAGGGTGGGCCGTGCTAATGACGCTGAGGCATTAGCACGTTGTTGGGGCTGCGGCCTGCCGGCTGCAACGAGTAACTGCGTCCAGGTTGGGCCGTGCTAAGGCCAACCCCTTTATCCATACCCATTTAGGGATTTTTGGACTGCAATCCCCCAAAATTTATTGAGTTGTGCTTGTTTGGGCTCAAACTCAGCCCGAAGAACATGGTCGTAACCCAGCCCATTAATTACCCAGTTAGAAGTACAATAAAATTTGGATTTTTAACTGTATTATTAAATTTATTTAATGCACTCCATTGATTCTTCTCAAGTATTTTATTAGATCCTTTTGGACCTTTTTGCATTTTATAACATAATCTCTGCCCCAGTTACCTAAAACTTCTTCCTTTCCTAAAATTTTTCTTAAACAATATCTCTTCACCATTATGTCACATTTCCCAATGACATCATCATTCATTTAACTTTCTATCAAACATATGATATCAATATCTTTCAAATTAAACAAAATAACTCAATTAACCAAATACATTTAAGACATTTTCCATTACCTCTCCTCTTTATCACAGCATTAACTCTACCTCCTCCATTAAATCATGTCAAGAATTATCTCTCCTCTCAATTATTCTATTAAATTGCCTAAATCCATTTGAATATACTTACATTTAATTTAGTTATAATATAATTATTTTTAAAGCAAAGTTATAATTATTAATAAAAATGAAATTCCATCTAATTATACTTTATAATATAATTAATTAAATTAAATTATATTAATATAGTTATACTTTACTGTATTATGTCATCTCTACCATCTCACGTCCTAATAAAGTAATAATAGAACTTAGTACAATAAGTAAATCGAATAAAAAATTAAAATACATTTACCTAAAAATAATGGATAAAAATTAAGTTATTAATAACAACAATAAGTAATTCATAACTTAAAATTTGAAATCCATTCAAATTCAATTAATAGATATTTAAATTTAACTAACAATAATCCATTCCAATTACTAATATTAACATAAAATTTGAAACTAACTTATAAAAGTAAAAACTATTAAAAGTGCAATATATTTAAATTCAAATTGAAAATAAAAAACTAAAACATAGTAAAAATAATTTAAAAAAATAAAAAAATAAATATTAATAGTTATTGTTGATGAAAATAAATTTTTGTGAACATATTGAAAATAAAATTAATAAAAAGTAATAAAACCAATAAAACTAATAAAAGTAATTTTTAACTAATGGAATTTTTGAAATTAATAAAGCTACACTTTTATAATTAATAATAAGAGTAAAAATTAATAAAATTTTCTTATATTAATAAAATAATGAAAAATTAATATCCATTCAAAATTCATTTGAATTTAAAATAAAATTAATAAAAAATTATATAGTAATAATTTATTCCATATTACTAAATTGTAGTTGTCCATGTCAGCATCCCCTCTCTATTCTTCACAAGTATTTTTCTATTTTTATAATTTCTTTGGCATTTATTAACAGAATCTTTACCATCTTGTGCTCCATTTACCTAAAACTTCTCCCTCTCCTAAGATTTCTATCTAACATTTACCGGTAACTTCATCCTAAAATATCTCCCTCTCTTAAAATTCTCTTAAACTATCTCACATTTCCAATTGTATTATCTAACGTTTTTTTTTTTTTTTTTTTCTAAATATCTAGGAATGCAACTTGGGTGGGGGCCTAACCTGCACCTGAGGTGGTCCAACCTAAGATTTTGCATGGATTGGATTTGAGTATTTGGGTTTTGGAATATGAATGCGCTAGACCTAAACTCAAGTTGGGTTTGGGTTGAAGCCTCAAGTAGCTCAACCATAACCCGAGCCTGACTTGACCTCACCCAAGCTTGCCCAACATTTTATGATGATATACACTTTTACATATTTGTGTAGTGTGTTATGTATTTATAACGTATATATGTATTATATGTATAATATATATTTTTACTATCATATACACTATAAAGTATAAACTATATTTATTTATAATATGTATATGATTAGTTTAAACTCATACCCATGTACAAACATATACAAATACACATGTTATGTATTTTATTTATGTAAAAAAGATTTTTTGCTTATATATCTACATGTATACATGTATGACTTATGTATATATACCTTTATTAATGACATTTGTGCATATTTTCAATTTATTCTACTGGAAATTGGGCTTCAAAGCCCAACAAAAGATGAATTATATTAAAAAAAAATCTTCAAACCTGACCAAGCTGTCTAAGCCCAGCCTCAGCCCAAGCCCAATCGGAGATGTGCTGGGTTGAGCTCGGGTTGGTAAACTTGGGCTTGACCATAGGTTGGGCTAGGCTCAAGTTCGAGGTTTGAGACATAGGTTTGTGCCTAGGTTGACCCTAGACTTGACCATACCCACCTGGCCACCCATATTGGATCCACACCCCTCTCTTTCCCATATTCCAAATACATGCATTTAATTTTCTATCAAACATATTAAAATATTAATATTTAGAGTTTAAACTATGATACTGGAAAAAAACTTCTAACCAAAAAAATGGTATTAGAAAAGTGGAAACGAATTAGGTGGTATTCCTCAAAATTTATGTAGGGGTTGGTTAAAGCTCTTATGGTTTCAAATTGACACATTTTTGACATCATAATTGATTAACATTATGTTTTCAAAATTGATTAACATTGGTTAAAGCTCTTATGGGGTTGGTTAAAGCTCTTATTAACGGTAATCAATTATGTTGTAGTAGCAATAATTAATTCATTAAAAGTAATTAACAGTAATTAATTATTGTTAATGTTAATCAACATAATTGATTACTGTTAATTACTTTTAATTAAAAATATATCATTTTTTAAAAGTAATGTATTTATTAAATAGTGTAAATTAAATACTGTTAATTACATATTTTCATATTTTCAGAAACATAGTTACATAGTTTTTGGTTGTTTTTTTTTGAAAATACTGTTATTTAATAAATACAGTGTTTTTAAATAAATATTGTAATTAACAAAATACTGTATTTATTAAAGTTACTGTTAATTAATTTAATATTATAATTAATACTGTTAATTAAGAAATACTGTATTTTTAAAATAATGTTAATTATTAAAAATTAGAAAAATACTGTAATTATGAAAAGTGTTGTAATTAAAATAATACTGTAATTATTAACGTCAACCGATAAATAATATTTATTGCCTTCAAAAAACCAATAAATAATACTATAATTACAGTATATATTAATGTTTGGACGTTAATTATCTCACAACGAATCCACGTAATCAACATTAAATTTTTTTTCACGTTTACAGTATTTATTAACGTTTGGACGTTAATTATCTCACAACCAATCCACGTAATCAACATTTGACGTTAATTATTGTTAATGCTAATCAACATTAATTATTGTAATTAACCGTGTATTGGACGGTTGGTGCGAACCGTCCTAAAACGGTTCGGGTTTGGACGTACCCGATATTCTATCGAAAACGGGTGGCGAAGAACCCGTTTTTGTTGTCTTCTTCGCCCGACCTTTGAAAACTTGTTCTGCGACGACCCGGTTAACTTTTTTTTTTTCATTTTTTGTTGCTATTTTTTTTCTCTACTTTTTAATGAGTCGATTTTATTTTTGATACTCAGCATCAGAAAAACACTTAATAATTCACCCAATAATGCAAAAAAATCACCTAATCAAATCTGTTTTTCGCAAAAAAAGAAACAAATACGTACTAGTCTAAGCAAGCAAATTGGAGAATTGCTGAGATTCTTCTTCCAAGCTAAATCATGTCTGCTCGAATGAATTCGAATCTGATACTTGAATAAAGAGAGACTGAAAAAAAGAAAAGAGAAAACATGAGTCCAACGGTTTTTATAGAAAAGCTTGAAAGTCCAAAGTTCCTAGGCTTACTATAACATAAGATTTAATGGCAGACGTGGGCAGACGTGGGCGGGAGGGGCTTTGGAAGTCCAAACGTTCCCAGGCTTCCTAAAGATTGGTTGTGAGATAATTACATGGATTAAAAAATTAAGAAAAATAAAAAAAACTGAAAAATATAATAGGAGGTTTCCGGCAAGGAGAGTTGAGAATGTTATAGGGCTACTTCTACTTTTATTTCTATTTATTCACTCTCACCAACATGGATTGCAATTAGATTGGCTAGATATGGTTCAAAAAATAATTCTTGAGTTGGATTTAGATTGATTCAAATTTGATGAATTAATTTTTTGGTTAAGTACCTCGTCATTTGGTTTGTTTCCAAGTGGCCGATGATTTAGAGGCCGAAGTGGAGAACTTTTGTTGGATGAGGACATGGATGCCGAGCTGACCAGACCGAGCTGGGCAGGATAGGTGCCAAACTGACTGGGCTGAGCTGGGCAGGTTAGCTGCCGAACTGACTAGGCCGAGCTGGGCAGGTCCGGCCCAGTCAGTTCGGCACCTAACCTGCCTAGCTCGGCCCAGTCAGTTCGGCACCTAACCTGCCCAGCTCGGCTCAGTCAGCTCGGCACCTAATCTGCCCCCAGTTCGGTTCAGTCAGCTCGGCACCTAATCTGCCCCCAGCTCGGCCTGGTCAGCTCGACATTCAGATCCTCATCCAACAAAAATTTTTCACTTCAACCTTTAAATCATCGACCACTTGAAAGCAGACCAAATGACGAAATACTTAACCAAAAAAATTAATTCATCAAAATTAATTGAAAATGTTATAGGGCTACTTCTACTTTTATTTCTATTAATAAAGTCATGTATCACACTGGTGCCCGACTAGTTACTATATAAAGAAATAAACCCGTTATCAAGGCTGCAAGGAGATTGGACATGCCTAAATATGATGTATCAAGATTCCAATTAAAATAGAATCTTATTCACCCATTTTGTCAAGATGTAGCTTCCATGATCGCAGCAGATATGGACTCCATTTGACAAAATGATTTTAATTCAGTATGAAAAGGTTAAATGATCTTTTAGTTTTGCAAATTAGTTGGGTGGTGTGGAACTGTGAAAGTTATTTCATTCGAAAGCGTTTGTATCTCTGGCTGAAGTATATATATGCCTATGGATCAGGTGCTAGGCTATGGTTGGGCTGGAATCCTGAGGAAGTACGTGGTGGAACCTGCACATATGTGGTGGCCTAGTACGCTTGTTCAAGTCTCTTTGTTCCGGTGAGTACAGAAGGCTCCTATAATTTAATTAATCTCTTGGTTCCAGAGTTTATAATTTTCTCTAATATTTACCAACTAATAAATTTTTAAGGAAAATTTACTATATATAATTAGACATTAGAAAATGTCTGTGCAATATGATCTTATTATTGGCTTAGTAATACTGAATGATTATGTGTTAATGAAATTTGTAGAAAAAGGCAATTTTGCTTTCCGTTCTTCGTATGAAAAGGAAATTCAACGTGCAGCCTGTCTCCCATAAGGCCACAATTACTTTGCCTTCCCCATTCAACAATTAAGGGGGTGTTGGCCAAGGTGAATGTTTTTGTTTTCTTAAACCAAAGCAACAGCTATTACCGAAAAAAAAAAAAAAAAAACAAAACAATTACCACATCAGAAAAAATAATTACTTTGCCTTAAGGGATATTTGTTAATATGGCAGTTTTTTTTTTTTTTTTTTTTTTTTTAGAAAACTAAACCATTCACATGAACGAATACTTCCTAAAAGAAGAAGAAGTTTTTTTTTTTTTTGAAATTCTATTGCTCTTGGTCCTTGTTTATTGTTTCAACCTAGCGACATGCTATGTTTTTTTCTTTCTTCTTACATCTCTATCTCTATTTTGAGTTTGAGATTAATGTTTTTATATAGAGAAACAAATAGGGATGCAAATGGATCGGATCGGATTTAAATTAGGATATTATTCGGATCCGATCTGACACTGCTAATGTCAAATCTGGTTTGATTTGAAGATCCGATCGGATCTGATATGAGTATGATTCTATCTGAATTTGAATAATGTCGGATCTTCGGACCTGATTTGATCTGACTTGTTTTCTTTAAAAATTAATAAATTATTAAAAGAAAAAAATAAAATATACCAATTTAAATAAAGAAAAACAAAAAATGCAGGTATTTTTTTATTTATTTTCAACATATATATACATGTTTTTTGTAAAAAAATAAATAATATAACAAATTTATAAAAATACAATATAAATAATATATTTATAAATAAATAACATATATATGTATATTATATATATTTATATTTATAACACAATGGATCGGATAGGGGATCCAGAAGTTCCAACTAGGGTTGATCCGAATTCGACCAGATAGGATTGAATCAAACAGATTGTTTGTTTTTTAATAATGAATAAGGACTCTCATTGCATGAAACAAACTTTATTTTTTTTTAAAATATTATCTTAGTACATGTATGTGTAACAGTGTAAGGCTATTACCAATGATGGCCCTGGCTATCTAAGATTAAACGTAGACCAAACTGGCCTGAGAGAAAAGGCGAGATTATTCTAGTTTTTTTTTTTTTTTTTAATCCTGGGCAACAAGTACCAGAAAACCATTGTCCTCAGTCTGCACACTACTAGCTTCCATTATTATAATGATGTTTTGTTCTCTAAATTTTATCTTCAATAATTATAATTATGTAGTAGTAGTGGTGGTAGTGGCTGAATCATAGTTTGAACTCTGCAGGGCACTTCATGAAAAAGATGATCAACGTATGTCAAGAGGAAAGTTCTTCTTGATTGCACTCATTTGCAGTTTCTGCTGGTATACTGTTCCAGGCTACCTCTTCCCTACTCTGTCAAGCATCTCGTGGATTTGTTGGGCATTCTCCAAGTCAGTCACAGCCCACCAGCTCGGCTCAGGCATGGATGGGCTGGGGATCGGAGCATTGACACTAGACTGGTCTGTTGTATCTTCCTTTCTGTTCAGCCCCCTCATGAGCCCTTTCTTTGCTATAGCCAACGTCTTTGTTGGTTATGTCGTAGTCATGTACATTGTGATCCCTATATCATACTGGGGAGTAGACCTGTACAATGCCAAAACATTTCCCATCTTCTCCTCTCACTTGTTCACATCCCATGGTCAAACCTATAATGTTTCAGCCATCGTGAATGATAAGTTTGAGATAGATATTGCAAATTATGAGGAACAAGGGCGGATCCATCTGAGCATGTTTTTTGCCCTGACGTATGGCTTTGGCTTTGCCACCATTGCGGCCACCCTGACGCATGTTGCCTTGTTTTATGGAAGGTGATGTATCATCAACTTCTACTCATTTTTTCAGTACATATATTAATTCTCCTAAATTCTTTTCCATGTACTGGAATTAATGTACAGAGAAATCTATGAACGATATCGTGCTTCATACATGGGCAAGGAGGACATTCACACAAGATTGATGAAGAAGTACAGTGACATACCTGGATGGTGGTTCTACCTAATGCTTGTAGTGACTCTCATAGTCTCTCTTTTGCTTTGCATCTTCCTGAAAAATCAGGTCCAGATGCCCTGGTGGGGACTCCTCTTTGCCTCTGTCCTCGCCTTCATTTTTACTCTTCCCATCAGCACCATTACTGCTACAACAAATCAGGTAATAGAGTTGAGCTTTTCTTTAAGTATCATATATTCAGTTAACAACATTATTCTGGACTAATGAAATTAGAAGTTGATTATACTAGAAGAGATTATAATTAAAGTACAGTGACAAAAACAGTTACCTATTCTTTTATAATCTTTTGTCATTTTAATTTTTTAAGTTGTTTTTTGATTCAATTTCAACACTTTCTTTCTAGCTAGATTTATACCCAACAGCCTAATTAAGACAAAAGCTGGGGGAGGGCGGAAGTGAAAGGGAGAAAGTTTTGTGAACACTTCAGAGTAATATTGTAAACTGAATATGATATAAAAAGGCCATTACCCAATGCTGGTCACTGCTTGGAATTTTATCATGTCTTAACTAAAATTGCGGGCTATAACTTGTCATAAGTTCACAAGGGTTGCTTGTACAAGCTAGATTTGGCCCCTGTTTGGCTTGTCTTTTATGCAGATCTTTTGTGCTTTTTAAAGACCAAAGCCAAAAAAATCGGTGTTTTTCCATTTGGTTTCCAGTAGTTCGGTAGCTCAAAAGATCCCCTCTGAAAAAGCCCAATTTTAGGAAGCTTCAAATGTAGGTTGGGGCCTTTTGCTCGATCTGGCTTTTAGCTAATTGACTTTAGAAAAATACATGAAGATAAAATCACAAAACAAAATTCTTTCACCACTTTAACCCAAACTAGATATCTATAGCTATGAATATGTGCTATTTTGCATTTTAAATATATCAAGCAAATTATTCTTTTTCTCTTTCTTCTTGGTGGTCAGGAATGATTTAATATCTGTCTGCTTTTTAAGCAAACCATGTTTTAAATTTGTTTACAGACACCAGGTCTAAACATCATCACAGAGTACATCATGGGTATCATATTACCAGGAAAACCTATAGCTAATGTGTGCTTCAAAACCTATGGGTATATCAGCATGGCTCAGGCTGTTTCTTTTCTCAGTGATTTCAAGCTAGGCCATTATATGAAGATTCCACCAAAGTCAATGTTCTTAGTTCAGGTATGTTTATTCTTTTTTTAGTATTCTAAACTTCATTATTCCTTGTTATAAAGGTAAATATATAATACTATTATGCCTTCGTTGGTTTCACATGAAAGAGAAGAAATTGAATATCTTCTCAGAAGACAAGGAAGCTTAACTTTTTATTTTCACTAAAGTGTCATGGGGCTAGTGGATAAGGCTTCATGCGGTGCTCGATTGGGTTGTGCAAACCTACAAACAAGGAAATAAGCAACAAGAGCAACAACAATGACACACAAATTAGTCAAAATGTACTTTGCATTGGGTTAAAGATGACAAGTACAAATACACAGTTTAATGTGGAAGAGATCTCTTGCTTAACTTTTACACGTTTTAGTTCCACTAAACTATCTACCTCCCTTCAAAGAGTAGCTTAAGCTTTTGGGGGAGTAACAGAAGATTACATCAACATCTTGAAAAATTATACTACTATTTACAAAAATGTTATTGACAATACCCCCATACAAAAAGAGTCTAATAACCCACCCAAAACGCATACATTGACACACTGATCGCCCTTCGGCAAGCTTCCCTTGTAACAAAAGGGTGGCGAAGAAGTAAAATTCTTGGTCTTATTTTTGCTTCAGGCTAAGTCTGGTTAAAATTCTATCCCAAAGAATCACTATTTGAAGAACAAGTTCGAGCCAAAAATAGTGTGAAGCTAAATTTTATCGCTGCAATGAATCAACTCTCAGAATGAGTTTTGAGCCCAAAAAAGAATTAATTATCCTGCAATTTCCGAACACCCAAAATTAAAAATGATTCTTAGAATCACAAAATTCATCAAAATTAGTTCTTTGAAAACATGCCAAAACACAAGCCAGACTTTGCTTATAGACTTTCTTCCTAAGTCATTTTATGGGTTGAACTCTTCTTCCCACCAACCACCATGATGGCAATGATAATGGCGGCAACAAGAATAACGATTATGTGATTGTTCCAATCTTCTGAAAACAAGAATAACGACAGCCTGATGACACGATCGATGACGCATCGTTTCCATCTTAATTGTGCTCTGGTTGTTTACTACATTTTACTTTCTTTTGATTCATTTTACTTATCATGTTCTTATTGTTTTTTCTGTTGGAATTTACATATTTGGGCCACCAAACCAGTTCATCGGAACCATCATGGCTGGAACGATCAACATTGCTGTGGCAATGTGGTTGCTGAATTCTATTCCAAACATATGTGATGATCAGATACTCCCCCCGGACAGTCCTTGGACTTGCCCAAGTGATCGTGTCTTCTTCGATGCATCTGTCATCTGGGGTCTTGTGGGACCCAAACGAATCTTTGGAACTCTTGGGAACTACACAGCACTGAACTGGTTCTTCCTTGGCGGTGCCTTGGGGCCACTTCTGGTCTGGCTTTTACACAAGACGTTTCCCAAGCAAACTTGGATTCCACAAATTAACCTCCCCGTCCTCTTAGGAGCAACAGCTATGATGCCTCCAGCAACAACAGTGAATTACACTTCTTGGGTTTTGGTTGGCACGATTTTCAATTTCTTCATCTTCCGGTACCGAAAGAACTGGTGGCAGAGGTATAACTATGTGCTTTCGGCAGCTCTGGATGCTGGGGTTGCTTTCATGGGGGTGTTGCTCTACTTCTCACTCAACATGGAAGGTAAAGGCTTGGACTGGTGGGGTGCAGGTGGCGAGCATTGTGATTTAGCTTCTTGTCCTACGGCTAAGGGTATAGTGGTTGATGGGTGTCCCGTCTTTTAATTGAGTTTTACAACATTTTAATGTTCATATGTATTGGGTTTCTTGACCTCAAATTACTTAACTTTTTTATTTCTGGATGAGATGTTTGATCATTAGTTGCCTCAATAAGAAGATAAATGTTGCATTGAATAGATTCAGGCCCGTAAGTTGGTCACTCAGTAACTTATATCGCACAAGAATACTAGAACCAAATTTATTCAGACAAGTTTTACTTTAGAAAACACTTAATAAACTCACTTAGGGTAAGTGAAAACGAACAGAGACTCAATATTTTAAAAACCAAACTGAGCATATAAATAGTGGATAGTGATGAACATTTCTGAACCACAAGAGATGGAAACAGGAAAAAGAAGAAAATAAACATGATCATATCTATACTATCAAGAACACAAGCAGCAATCAAAAGAAAACAACAGGGAGACAGTCAAGTCTGATCTACTCAAGTATTGAGCCACTCCGCTCATCATCTATATGATCATTACAGTAGCAATAACAAATTTTAAAGAAGCACACTTGTGATAAATTGTATGTTTCATTTCTCTATATAAATTACAAGTCAGATAGTTGATATTAACTGACAGTACATGTAGAGTACATGTAGAGGTGTCAATTGGATTGGATTTGGATATTAATTGACAGTACATGTAGAGGTGTCAATTGGATTGGATTTGGTTCAACCTGATCCAGTCCAATGTGAGTCCACTTACAAATGGACTGGACCCAATCCAGCCCAAATCCAATACAAACCAAATTCAATCCAATCCATTAAAATGTAAATAGATTGGATTGGATCCAATCCAAACTGAATGAAATATCAAAAATTATATAAAAGCACTTTTGGCACTGAAAAAACACTTTTATAAAAGTAGTTTGATAAAAATATTTTCATAAAAGTGTTTTTACAAAAGCACTTTATTAAAAGTACTTTTTAAAAGTAATTTTACAAAAGCACTTTTAGAAAAATACTTCCAGACTTTTATAAAAGTATTCGTAAAAGTGCTTTTGTAAAAGTACTTCCATAAAAGTGCTTTCATAAAAGTGCTTTTGTAAAAATGTTTTTTTCAAAGTACTTTTATAAAAGTACTTTCGTAGAAGTGTTTTCATAAAAGTGCTTTCACAAAAGTACTTACATAAAATTTTTTTGTAAAAGTGATTTCATAAAAGTGCTTTCGTGTAAGAGTGCTTTCATAAAAGTACTTTTGTAAAAGTGCTTTCGTAAAAGTACTTTTGTATAAGTGCTTTTGTAAAATGATTTCATAAAGTACTTTTATAAAAATGCTTTCATAAAAGTATTCTTATAAAGTGTTTTCGTAAAGATACTTTTCATAAAATTACTTTTATAAAAATGCTTTCGTAAAAGTATTTTCATAAAAGTGATTTTATATTGGCTTCAGTTTTGATTGATTTCAAATTGGACAAGGGTTTGGCCTCATGATCAGATTATTGGAAATTTGGTTTAGGTCCAATTCAAACCAATAAGAATATGGACCAATTTGTTTTGGATTGACCCAATCCAATAATTATAATGGACCATCCAAATCTGATTTGATAAGGTTTAGATCGGATTGGATCCAAATCAAAACCGATCAATTGACACCCCTAAGTACATGGACCAACATCTCCAACTTCCAAGCCCACCCTCACCTGATAATCTGAGTCTGGGCGTTCATCAACTCCATGAAATACCATCTTATGAAACCATGGTGTTCAAAATGCAAATAGCTCTTATGAATCCTCATCATCTTCATCCCAGCAACCCTCATCGAAGACTACTAGAATGTACTTCAACACCTACACTCTGTACAAGAACTAGAATGAACACCTAAAACATTACCAACAGCGCCACCCAATCCTTTGTCTACGATCGCAGATCCAGCTGGTGACGTAGACCCTCACAAAAAACTTGAATCTCCATGATAAAATCATGAACCTCTTCACTTCATGGTTTACGGCCACGGTCCTTGCTTATGTCGTAGACCCAAGACTAGCCAATACAAAAGACAATGGTAGGCTGTCTTCATCTTCGACAATAAATATTTTAGTATCAACCTCCCTGGAATCAGAAATAACTAGCACAAGGAAATTCACCACATCTAGTTTAGAACTCATTGGTCTCTCAGGAATAGAAGGTAGAGTAGTGGAGTCATCATCTGCACGAACAAAATAGTCCGACGAATTATGAGAATAAGGAACATAACCTTTGGGAGCCCTAGGTTCAAAATCCCTATAACCTTTCGGATACCCTGAAGATCTTTACCTAGACCTTTCCCACGCTGATACCCAAGGGACCTCATAAGCCGAACTGGCCTAGTTTGAAACAAGTCTTTCTCTTGAGCTATGACAGCTTCTTCCCTTAAATCCTCGGTGGTGTAACATTTCAACCAAGAGAGAAAAGCCTACATACCTTTAACTACTTTTAACTACTTTGTCGATGCCTAAAGAATCTGTTGCTGCCTAGGATGGGCTGAGTGCAACACTGTAATTTTGCTTTCGAGCCAAAGGCTGGTTGAGGAGTCTGAAGTCTGCTGTGGTTGAGGACTGGTAGGTCGGACCTGCGGAGAGAGAGAATGTCAGAGGCCCCGGGTACTAACCTGAGGCGGGGATTCTGACAATCAAATTAGTACGGGTGCAACACCAGGTGGGCGAGGCCTGAGGCGAGAACACTCAGATGAGGCCACAAAGGAAACTAGAGAGTTCTTAGTAGTCTTGAGTCTAGATTCTAGATGTTTACTTTGGGAGGGTTGTCCCTTATTTATACTTGAAGCCACTTGGAGGTAGGTGGGCTTGGATGGCCAGGATGTGGTTCAGCCCTGAGAAGCGCGGTCATCTGAGGCCGCCGCGTGTGGCCGCATCATTGGCTCCAGGTAGCGCGTCGACCTCTATTCTACATGTGGCCTCATTGGGCCGCCCAGAAGCCGCCGCCTGCCGTGTGCGCGCGTGCTATTGGTTCCCTACATCATTTGCTCCCACTCTCAAGGCCGTGGAGGAGGTCTAAGCTGAGGACCTTAACTTTGGCCGAAGAGAGTGCATTGTCCTTGGAGGCGCCTATGGGCCTGTCTGATGAGGGCCTCGGCCTCGGCTGATGAGGATGCACTCAGCGCCGCTTGCGGTGGTGTCGACTTGGTCTTCGTTACTGGCCATTGAGGGATGCTATGGAGGCTTCTACTGTCCGGAGGCCTCGGTGTCCATGAGTTCGGGTCCGTGTCGGATACGGGAGTAAGGGGCGCTTGCCCTTGTCTTGTTTTTGACTGGTGCTGAGGTGAGTCTGCTTGAGGTGTCGGCCTCGACTAGGGTCACCAAGGGCAGCACTTGGTGACAAGAGGTTGTGACTTATCCACGTGCAAAACGAATCTCGCTGTTGATGAGCCGTAACCCATGTGGAGGACGAATTTCAATGGTGGGCACAGACTGTGCGTGCCACGGGTTCTCGCGTTGGTGGGTTAGAGTCATGCCTAAGACGGGCTCCGGGTCGGGGCCGTGCACGGGACGGGTCGTAGCACCGTGTCCATAGGCAAGATGGGCGCTAGGCTTGCCAGGTTTTGCATCCTTCGGTTCAGTGTCGCTGGGCGAACCAGTAGGCGTGGTTAGCAGACTGGTCGCCTTGCCCAATGTCATTTCGTCTTCCTGAGGTGAGCAACACGTGTCGGTTACCTAATTAGGCTGTGGAGGCGGTCATTTTGTAGCCGTTGGATTGGAGGCGATTTGGGCCGTTCGTTCTCCTTTAAATAGGAGCCTTAGTCGCGTTTGCTTTCACCATTTACTTCCTGGTGTGTTTGCTTTCGGAGACCTTGACTTTTCTTCCTATTTCCTTAGAGTTTTCCCAACTTTGTCTCCTTAGGTAAGGAACCCATTTGCATCTATGTCTTACTCCGACTACAACCTAGAGTGCTATGAAATCGTAGTGAAAGAATGGTAGGATCCATCGTATGGACGCCAAAAAGGTTGCGGAATGGGTGGGTGAATTTCAAAAATTTCCTACCTTTCTTCCAACTGGGAATCGTATTCCTTGATTTTAGAATCAAGATTCAAGGATCCTACTCGAACCAAACCAGACCAGATCTGAACCAAGAACAAAGGGAAGGGTTATACCTGATACGGAGAATGAAGATCTCCCAACGTCGGTGTTCACACCCAAAGAATGATCCAAGATCTGCTCTCGCTGAAGATGACACAGCGATGGTGGGGCAGAACCAACAGTGTACGTCCCACGTACCGAACTCTTCGCAAGAATCCGTTGGAGGCTTAGAGCACCGAACCAAATTAGTCTTTCAGCAAAGACTGAACTCAAGAACCAACTTCTTGATCATCACAGAGGAGTTCAAACCAAGCAGTAAGGCGGTGGCGGCTGGAGGAGAACCCTAGAGCTAAAAGTGGCGTGAATGCTGGTTTCACTCTAGGGAAGGTGAGATCCTATCTCAGATTGCAGAAGTTGTTACTACAAAACCCTAGGTTGAATTCTTGTAATTCTAGATTAGGGTTTCCTCCTTTCTTAGTGATTAAGAAACCTCATAATCCTATTAGGAGTTATCCCAATCCAAATCAGCATTTGGATAGGGGCTAATCTTAATCCTATCTGCAGATTAGGTCAGCCCACTCCTGAATTTTTTATGAGGTTACCAGATTCAAATCACATTTGAATTTGGTATCCAAGAGTGGATAGGGTTAAAATCCTAATCCTTTAGCTAACCCTAATCCCAGATACGCCCCCTTAAGTGGGTGATCATATAAACCCAGGTCGAAATGGGCTTTTAGGCCCAATAAGTAATCAGTGCTCAATAAGTTTCTAAACTGCTGCCCAGTTGGGCTTCTTTGTACGGCGTAGGACCCAAGCATTGATCTACAGATCAGCCACATAGGTTCGGCCCAGCCTTTGTTACAAGGCCTAGCCAAATTCACTGGAAAGCCCAGTGAACCCCTCGAGCCCATCACATGGACTCTATGGGCCCAACACTTACACTAAGTGGTCCCTGGGCCAAGCCATCTTATAAAAACCCAGGGATTGTGGGCAGATGCAAGATTAGCCATCAAGTATTACCCTAAATGGCCTTACACTTATCCTCTCAGCCCGTAATGATCAAACACTGCCCGACAAGGGAGGACCTCTCCCTCGGCTGCAAGGAACAGTGCTGCA